GCTGGCTGGGGAATTCTGGGAGTTGAAGTCCACAGATGTTAAAGTTGCAAGCTTGAGAAACACTGCTTTAGCAACAACCCCATCTAAAATTCATTTCAGGGATATCCCATTATCCTTACATTGTGTGTGTATTTCGGGCTGGGGCAGGGAAGAGCCGCTTGGAGCGTCTCATCTTAAGGGGTATTATTTTTAGCTGAGGAACTGAGTTATTTTTGACGGTCCGGTCGCGAGCCGCTGCTTTGCCTTATTCTGCAGCGCGGAAATAACCGAGCATATTGCTAAATACTGGATTTCCCCGTTATTTTGTTCCCGTCGCTCTCCTGGTCACTGCAAATCTCGAGAAGCGAAGCGGGAGAAGACCTCCTAACCCCCCCCTTGGATAGGGGGCCACTAGGAGATCTCGGAAGCAGGGAACCCAATTTTCCTGGGCAACTCCCCCCCCCCCTCGTCCCTGTTGCCAAGGAAGCTGTATGAAGGTGACCAGAAAGTCAAGAGCAGCTGAGCTCGACTTGAGGGAGTCCTTTCCCCCCCCCGCCCCCCCCTTGTTTGTTGCAACACAGAAGGGAAATTTCCTTAGATCAGAGATGCATATTTTGTGTCATTCTTCATTTTTCTATATCTTTGCGAAGGCAGAGAATTGGGGGATGCGCACCTAAATGACGGACGAGAGAATTAGGAAGCACTTAAAAGAAGCCAAAAAAAACACACACACACACAAAACCCCACCAAGTCCTCAAAACATCCGGGTTAAAAGGCTGTGCATATTTCTTGTGCAGCTGTAAATTCAGAAGATGTAAATTGGTCTTGATCTAAATCCTGTTTTAATTAAAAGTTATGCATTTGTTACATTCATGCCTGTATTTTGAAATGCTTGTTATTTTTTATTTCAGCTTGAATGTGCATGAATGCACTAAGGAGGAGGAGAAGGAGGATCATCTATAGAGAAACATTAAAAGTAACCCTGCTGGGTCTGGCGTGTGTTTCTCGCAGTGACCAACCAGCTCCCTCTCATCCTTCCAAGCAAGAAATGAATAAACATCTCTTTCCTGCAGCTTCTCCCTGATCTGCTTTGGAGGACACCCCAACCCTACCCCCAGTCTGGAGGCATCTAATAACATCCCACATCTCTGCCCTCCAATCCACTTTTAAAGCCAGCTAAGTATGCAGACATCATGAAGCTTTGTGGTTAATGGATTCTGCAGGCTATTTACTCATATAGCAAGTATGTATGTAAGTATATTATATATGATTATTTCTTGTAATAATCCTTCTGAAACTATTTATTAACATTGCATTTTATAATTTCAGGTGCAAACATCAAGATTGTTTCTCTAAACGTAATGAGCCAAAGGAGTTCTTTAACTAATATCCCTGTAGGCATCTGCTACAAACTGCAGTGATGATGTAAGAGTGACAGAACAGGCATTGGGATGTGACAGGGCAACTCCCAGCCTTTCAAAGCAACCTCAATTAAATAATTGTATATGGATTCTAAAATGAACTTCATTGTATAGATCTGAAATACATTTTCTCCAACCTGGTTCTAAACGTGTTAAGTACAACTCCTAAAATTTCATTTTCCTAGGCTAGCTAGAAATTATGGATGTGTGATTCAGCCTATTTGGAAAACACCAATGTGAGAAAGTTGACTTAAGGATGACTGAATGGTGAATTTTTTCATTACTGCTTGCATAAATGAGATTTCAAAAGCATCCCATCAGGAAGGGTCTGCAAACCCAAAAATGTTAAGAAATAATTATAATTTTAATTAATTTACTTGTTGTTGGTCTAACAACCCCATTTATAAATTAAGGTTTTGCTTTCTAAAGTAACTTCATATTCACAAATCTGTTTACTTTTATTTTCCTGATCAATACGTTGAAAGTGAAATCCCAAGCATACTGTGATGGAATGGAATTATGAAGGCCAGGCTCAGGGATATAAACATTTTCTTAGCTCGCCAGAGGAGCGTGGGAGATACAAGAGGATGAGGCTGGCACCTCCCTGAGGAATTCACACTGTTGTTACTGGCTGACTTTGGGAACTGGGGTTTCAGTCTGGGAAGATTCGTGCTAGAGGTTGTAGCTAATAAACAAAGCTGAACTGAATTTGCATTGTCTCTTGGAGTTCCTTGGGCTAGGCCTGATACATACTGTACTTATGTAGAAGTAAGCCCAGCTATGCATAAGACTACAAATCCAATCTCAACTAACCTGAGCCTTGATTTTGAACAGATCTGTATTGGGTTACTTGGTTGGTCCATCATTCTATTTATACTTATTCCACTGAACTCGGTGGAACTGACTGCTGACTATCCATCCATTGCTTTCACATCATCCTTAAGAAAATATTTCACTATAAAATTTGAAAGCAAGGATGCACAACATTTGGGGGGAGCTGTGGTCCAAAAGCAGACAGGGCTAGCAGAATTTGATTCAATACAGTTTGAATTTCTACGGATTAAAATTAACTTAATGAATTGCTGTGCAGTTGATTCAGCAGGTGGCAGCATTGAGGCAACTTTAGGTGGGCTTGGAAGCTAAGCAGGATAGCCCTGACTCATTGGGTGGGAGCTAACGGAGAATACCAGGACTGTCAGCTAGACTGGGAAGTCAAAAAGCAAACTACCTCCACATTGGCAGGAAGAAAAACGCAGGGTTGCATTGATGTAGTCACCAAGAACCAAGCTTGACTTAAAGGAGACTTCATTTTATCACCTTAATGTCATGCTTTCTTGTCACATTAAAACATACAATTTGAAGGCAAAGTCTGGATAGGTTTGGGTGGTCCTGGGGCATCAAGCTATATTTTAAAGGTTTGGGATAAGAATGCCAAAATTTAATTATCTAAGATTCTCCCTTATTTTCCTACTATCTCTCTCATTCAGCTATCAGGCAGAGTCTGGGCAATATTGGTTGATCCTGAAAAGATAAACAGGGTCAGCCTTAGTTTGTTACTGGATAGGAGACTATCAAGACATTCTAGGGCTCTATATGAAAATGAGAATTAAAAAAAAAATCCCGAAAAGTCAATGGCAAACCACTTCTGCACAGTTGCCAGGAAAACTCCATGGATGTGTCCCTGAAGTCACCAGGAATCTAGCTCAATTTAAAGGTGCTTTGACCTCTATCCTACAGATCACATGTTTAAAATGTTTGTTCATGAAAGAATCTAGATGTTGCCTTAGTTGATCTTATAAATAGGATCAAATGTTTATTTGATCAAATGTATATTTAAGGTGCAGTGTAACTCAGTGAGGCTTAGCCCTGAATAGATAGGGCTGTGCTAGTTACATTGTTCGATAATAAATTCTATAATTGGAGGTTGACAGTAATTGTTATTCTTTATTTGGCTTGCCCTTGTTAGCCTTCATTGTTCTTTGCAGATTTCATAACTATGCGGCAGCTTCTCTTTGGCACCATAAATGCAAACTGTTCCTTAGATCAGAATTTTTAAAAGGATTGTGTTTGCAGATCATTCTGTGTCTTGGCACACACAAAGCCTGAGATTTGCCTAAATGAGTATGTAGCAGGATGCCAATCTAAAATGAGGGGTCAGTTTAGGGCAATGTTTCTCAACCTTGGCAGCTTGAAGATGTGTGGACTTCAACTCCCAGAATTGAAGACTGGCTGGGGAATTCTGGGAGTTGAAGTCCACACTTCTTCAAGCCACCAAGGTTGAGAAACACTGGTTTAGGGACTGGGAAATCTGTAGCTGATATGCTTTTGGTACTGGAGAAAAGATTTTCAGGATTGGCAAACCTATCACTGTTGCTGGTCTACATCCATGCCCTGCTTCTAATTGTATATGGATTCTAAAAT